ACCCAACTTTAAGTCCAGAGTTGAAAACCTGGCTCCACTTAGGGCATCAAGAGTATCATCAATTCTTGGCAGTGGGTATGAGTCTATTTCAGTTATACTGTTAACAGCCCTGATGTCTACACAGCAGTATTGAGTCCCATCCTTCTTCTGGACTTACACGATGGGAGATGACCAGGGACTATCTGATTTCTCGACTATCCCTTCTTTTAGTAGGCCATCCATGACCTCCATTTCTTGTTGTTTTGTTGGAGCTATTCTCCTCGAAGGGATCTTTATTGGATGGTGATTGCCTGTGTTTATTCTGTGCTCCACAAGGTCTGTGCAGTCAGGGTCATGATCTCCTTTTGAAAAGACATCTGCACAGTAATCCCTATAAGCACTAACATTGGAACAAGTCTCATTGTTGATGAGGTAAAAGATATATATTGAAAGTGAGAAAGCAGGGTGAGAGATTATACATAGAGGTGACTATCAATCTGAAATACATTGTCTGGTAATGAAAATGCTAACTTCAGAAATGTACACTCACCTCTGCATAACAAAGAGCTGGAATCCCACACTAACAAAATGGTGGAAGGGCAGATGTAAATCATAGTATCAGAGAGGGAAAAAAATGTGTATCATGTTACCCACTAGGGGATGGAAGGGAAGAGTAGCCCAATAAGGGTATCAAAGCAGAGAGTACTCTTTACTCAATAAAGGTGAAAGAGCAAAATATGTCATCAAAAGAACTTTCTGCATCATGCTAAAGTGTAACATAGATGGGCAGAAGATAGGATAGCTCAAACGGCCATTATATCTCAGGAAAAAGTCTGAGGATTAGTATGTAATGTTGTTAGGGCAGTAAGACAGGCTATAGTATATTGGAGAAATACTTATGTCAGATACTTACTAGAATAATCAGGTAGAGAGAGAAAACATCCCAGACCTATATCTTGAATAGAACCCGAGACTCATCTAGCAGGCCTAACCACCACAAATGCTTTGTAGTATTGTGGAGTGACCTGTACTACACTTCCAGGTAACACCCAAAACCTACTTCCCATCAAGGGATGTGTCCATTCAGAGTTTGGGGCTAGGGAAGCAACGGTTATTCCATTACTTTCTCAAAGAAAGTGGGTGAGAATTCTTTGGTAATGGGTTACCACAAATAGAGAGACAGCAAGCACTGGCCAGGTGTGAGAGCAGACTCACACCCTGGTGCTACCAACTGTTTTCCTTTTTTGTTTTATTTTGAAGTACAACCTATAATATTAAATATATACTGTCAAAGCAGTTTTGTGGAAAGCCTTAACACAACAGTGGGCTCTAAGCAGTGGCAGATAGGCTTAATACTTTCTGTTATCATATGATCCGGATTTTGGGACAGAGTATTCCCTATGAAGCAACACACACCTTTTGGTGGATTCCAGCATCTCCATTGAATAAAGTGGTTAGAAGACCTGGAAAAAAAAAGAGAGAGTGTGTGAACCATTGTAAATAGTGGCAAATGGTGATTGGAGAGAGATAAAACTGCAATGTGGTATTAATGTGGCACAAATATGTTG